ATCATCATCATCATCATCATCATCATCATCATCATCATCATCATCACCACCACCACCACCACCACCACCACCACCATGACACCATCATCATCATCATCATCATCATCATCATCATCATCATCCTCCATCCTAGTGGGAACTTTAGTCTACAAACTGTCATTGATTTGGACTGTCTGAGAACTGATGATGGGTTCAGATCCGTGCCAAGATGTGCTGAGAAAAGGTTTTGCTTGAGGCGTGTTCATTCTTCTATATTAGTACTTTAAATGAAAGGCCTCTTCGATTCTTACATTATACAGGAGGAATTGTTCATCCTCAGTATCGCACTACCAGTTTGCAACGCAGGCAACGTGCAACTTTGCTCAGGAGGCCAAACATGTTTGGCTCGCAGCCTGTGGTGTGCGGCAGTAAAAGCTAGACACTGGAGATAATACAGAGATCGAGTTGTCGAAAAAGAGTAAAAGATTCATCAGCTACATGTGGCTACTGTAAATGTCGATTCGTTCACTTTCTCAGATCCGTTTTCAGAACTGTGGCGATATGGTCAGGTCATGATAGTTGCAGCAGTGAGAGTTTCTCACTCCGTTCGGCAACATCCACAGCAGTCCTCAGCAACCATTTCGGTGCAAACGGTTCGGACAAATGGACTAGTCGACCGCAGACAGGGCCAGGGGGATCTCCCTATTGAAAATAGGCTGTACACATGGCTGTACACATGCAAATGCAGACACAAATCCATGCAGTCCAGGCTGTACACATGCCCATTTGCAGCACAGATTTAGCAGATATACTGCATGCCTACAGCCTTACGAGATGGTGAGCGTTGGATCGGCAAGACGTGTTGCCAACTTGACTAGACGGACACGTGTGGATGCATAATATTACTTTGGTTCACCTGACCCAGTTTCTAACAACATCTACACCCCCCTGTGGTGCATCCATGAAGATCCACCGAAATCACAAAACTCTTCGGCAGATCTTCGCAGATCTTCGCGGCGCGCGTTGTTTCACACCGCGCCATGTTGCGCTTTAAGGCCTCTGGGTTGCAGGTGCGGAACCTGTGGCTCCACGGCGCGTGAGGATCCAAGGTTCAGAGGATCTGTCTGTCCTGGTTTGGTCAAGATGTGACGCCGATCCGTGGGATTTGGGATGAACGATGGCTTGAGCTACTTTAGCTAAGAAGGACCGCGTTGGGTTTAAGGTGGTTCCAAGAAGACGAAACTACCAACAATCATCGATGCTGGTCAACCTGGTCAACTGTATGAGAGTTGGATTATTGATCCTTGCTACGATAACACATATTTAATTAAACATGGTTTCAGATGGTTTAAGTTTACAGAAGGGGTGGCCATGGGGCCTGGGTTTGGGTTTTCCATAAATTTTAGGTAAATGCTTCAGATAATTGCATTGGTGCCACAGTCACGACTAAAAAACACTCATAAATATGCATAAAGGATCAAAAACACATAAGAAAACACAAAAAAAACTTAGGCAAACAAAAAAAAACAATTCTCAGAGACTCTTGTCTAGACCCCTCAAAATCAAAAAAAAACAAAAAAAAAACAAAAAACCTTGAGAACACACAAAAAACAAAAAAGAATCTGAGAGACTCTTGTCTGGACCCTCTTGTCCTCAAGACTTCCCCAGAATTGTTTTTTTTGGTTTTCTCAACGTTTTTTTGTTTTTTCTGATTTTGGAGGGTCCAGCCAAGAGTTTCTGAGAATTGTTTTTTTGTTTTTTTTGGTTGCCCAACACTCCCTTTGTCCTTGTCGAAATCTCCATGTACAAGTCTGTGCATTAACTTCTGATTGGTATCAATGTGATTGCAAATTGTATGTCCAATCAGCTTGACATGAAACTGTAATGACACCTTCCAATTTACATGAAACTGTTATGAATCTGTGTAAGCTGTAGTTCTAATTCAAGGCTTGTTGCATTTGCTTCGGCTCTGTAATTTCACAGCCTCCTCGACTTGTGCATCTTGTAGCTCAAGCGTTTTGCATCTTATTCTGGCGAACTCCTAATTTTAATTTCAAGTCCTTTCTAATTCAACTCTTATCTAATTTCAAATAGGTTATAGTTATAGTTCAATACAAATTTAGTTGAATTCGGTTTTAATTCAGTTCTATCTTCGCTCTAACTCAAATCCAACTTAATTCTACCTAATTCTATTCTAGCTCTAGTCTATTTTGTTTAAGAAAACACATGCTACAAAACCCTGTGTTTTTACAGTAATTTTTGCCCTGGGAGTGCTGGGAACAAGACTAAAACTATTTTTTGGAGTAAGCAGTTAGATATATTTATTTACAGTAATCACTGGATATAATATAGACATATTAAACATGTTTTATGTGCACGCTTCTAATTCAAGAGCTTCCCTCTAGATCTCTGGGGATGATCATTTCTACAATAAGAATATATAAAAGCTTGCATTTCAAAAGCTTTCCTCTAGATCTCTGGAAATGGTCATGTCAATTTAGACATGCTATATATCAATAAAAAGTTCTTCTTTCAAGAGCTTTCCTTGCATGAAAACACACATATATGGGATATCTACTCGCAGAAATCTAGAAGAAAGCTTTTAACATACAAGGTTTCTATATAGTGATAAAATCTAAAGATGATTATCTGCAGAGATCTATAGAGAATCTTTTGTAACATAAAAGTGTCTGTGAATGTCACTCCATGACATGCTGAAACCAAGGTTGCTGGACTGAGGAAAGCTCTCGACGACCGCTGGCACGTGGCTCCTTGTTTCCACCCCCGACCTCCTAAGATGGGAGGGCGACGTCACGACGCTTGAGCCATGCCTACGTTGGTGTGAAAAGACCGCACCAAACCGGAAAACGCGAGACGACACTTCGTGAGGTTGTTTCTTGGATTGGTTGCATTTGTTGCTACCTTCAAATTGGTAGCGGAGCCCCGACCAGGGGCTCCCTACCGTGCTGCCAGTTGACAGTTGGTTGTTGATTTGAGAGTTGGTTGAGTTGCATTGCTCTTGCACCCTGTACGTTGCACACTGGCCTTTGCTTGTTGCACATTGTACATTGTACATTGAGCAAGTCGACATTGAACATTGTACATTGCGCCCTGGTCGTTGACCGTTGTTCATTGAGCAAGTTGACATTGAGCATTGGACATTGCACCTTGATCGTTGATCGTCGTACATTGAGCATTGCCACACGTTGTGCAGATGGCTTCGACTTCAAGCACAGCTGGTGACACCACAAAGGATTCATGGGTGCCGACCTTTAGCAATCGGCCTCAGGACTATAGAGAGTGGAGGGCTCGCATCCACCTGTACTACAAGAAGATGCAACTGCAGAAGAAACCTGTTGAAGGAATCATCAACATCCTCACCACCATGACCGGCACCGCATGGAAGCAGTTGGAACCCCAAGCTGACGCATTGAGTGAGGACAAGGAAGGTTTCTCAAAGTTGATAGCAGTTTTGGACAGGACGTTCAAATACGATGACCGTGTTGAGCAACCAAGGGCCTTCGAGAAGTTTTTCTATAGCCTCTCAGGAAGGCCAGACCAAACATTGATGTCGTATTGTGCTGACCATCGTGAAGCACTGCGGGAGGTCCAGAAACACAACATCTCCCTGCCGGCGGAAGTGACTGGTTGGCTCCTCCTTCGGAGGAGTGGGTTGTCTCAGGAGCAGAAGCAATTGGTACAATCGCAGTGTGGAGCAACATTGGAGGAAACAAAAGTTGAAGAAGCTATGTACTTTTTGTTTGGCCAAGATTTTCGTGGCCGCTCCACCTATGACCATCGTGGCAAGCCCTACAATGCACCTCGCTCAGCTGGAAAGAATGCCTACAAGTGGCAGAAGAAGGGCTCCCAAGCGGCATACGCTGCCAACGATGATGATCCCGACCCTCAGGACTATGAAGAGTTCTATGAAGTTGATGAGGCTGACGCCTACTTTGGTGATTGGCCGGATGATCCTGAAGAGGTCAACTATGAGGATGACGAGCTGGAAGAAGTTCTCCATCAGGAGGACGATATGCCTGATGTTGATGACCCCGAGTGGGAAGAGGCATATGCATTATACCTTGATGCCCGCCGGAGGTTTGCAGAGCTCAAGACCAACCGTGGCTACTATCCAGTTGTGGCCTTAGCAGACCCCAGTCCATCCAGCACAGCCCAATCCCAACGCCCCTATCCTCCAAAGGGGAAAGGATCCAAGGGCTCCAAAGGCAAAAACACCTCCAGGTCACCACCCCAAAAAGGTGACGCCAAGTCAAGGGGCAAGGCCGCCCTATCCTCCAGTTCGTTCAACAAGAACACCTGTCTCCGATGTGGACAGCCAGGTCATTTCGCAGCACAGTGCCCGCAGAAGCGTACCACCCCCAGCAACAGCGCATCACCCACTTCGAAGAAGTCCAAGGGTGAGCGCAACGCCCTCATGGTGAACTTCGCAATGAAGGACGCCTCAAGCATGCCAAACGGCATCCATGGCACCATCGATGGCGGTGCAAGCTGTATGGTGGTAGGCCATGACAACCTTATGCAGTACATCGAGCACTTCAGCCAGCACCACATTGGACCAGATGATTTCCAGTTCCGCCCGACAGTGAAGACTCTCCAGTTCGGCGGTGATCGATCCTTAGATTCCCAGTGGACCGTTCACTTGCCCATTTGTGTCAATGGCATCCTGGGTCGAGCACAGACCTTCATCGTCCCAGGCAGCACACCGCTGCTGATCGGTCGCCCGATCTTGAAGGCGATTGGCATCCAGCTCAACTTCATGGAGGACACGATGAAAGTACGAGATGGTTCATGGCAGGCCATCATCATGGGCCCTCGCAACGAACACCTGTTGCGACTGGATGATGGGCTTGAACGTTTGACAAGCACCAAGGACTATCAGTTCGACTACATGCTGGAGGAGACCTACCAGCAGTTGTCACTTGAGCCACATGCAAGCACCACAGAACCATACACCCTGTGGCACTACCTCGAGCTCACAGGCCTTGAGCCACCACTGCAGCTCACACACGAACAAGCCATGAACACACAAGATGATGACAACAACACGGACGACAACAGCACCTCCGATCCTGAGGACATGGACGAAGATGATGATGACACCCTGCACCGACGTGCACTCACGGACAAACTCGTCCGGAGTTTCCGTGTGCACCAACAACACCTAGCGCAACAGCACAAGGCCACCATCGAGGCCGCGCTCCAAGCACATGCGGAACATCGCATGCAGTTCTGGGAGATCTATGCAGGAGACGCCAACTTGGCTTCAGCCATGCAGGCCAAAGGCTATGTCGTGCGCACCTTTGATATCCGCAGTGGTTGGGACTTCACGAATCCCAAGCACCAGCGAGAGCTGATCAAGCTCTACTACCTCACCTCGCCGGACGTGATCTGGCTTGCACCACCTTGCACAAAGTGGTCACCCATCCAACGCCTGAACATCCGCAGTCAGGCTGATCAAGACCGACTGGAAGCACAACAGCAGCACGAGGAGGGAACCCACCTCCGATTCAGCAAGAACCTACACAACAAACAACACAAACAACAACGACTATCACTCGTCGAGCATCCCAGGTACGCAGAATCCTGGAACACCGAAACACTACAACAGCTAGAGGGACATGACGCCCACATCGACCAATGCCAATATGGAGCAACACTTCCGGACCATGAAGGCATTGAGCAGTACATCCGCAAGCCAACCACCCTGAGAGTCACCTCAGAGACATTGGCACAACTCCTTGAGCGCACATGCCAAGATGAGCACTACCACTTGCCCATCGAAGGCAGCTCACCAAACATCGGCAGTCGAGCAAAAGCCGCAGGCAGCTACCACCCACAGATGTGTCAGGCATGGGCCGACATTCTCCACTACTACCTCCAGGAACACTACTGGCCCAACTATGAACCTGAATCAGCACTTCACCAAGACACACCAGACTCACCACACGAACCACGAGCGACAGACGATGAGCCATACGATGAACCACAAGCCTCAGCAGAAGCAGATGAGCACTTCACGAACAACAAAGGCATCCTGACCCGACTTCAG